GCCGTCTGGGCCGTCTGGGCCGCCTGGGCCGCCTGGGCCGTCTGGGCCGTCTGGGCCGTCTGGGCAGCCTGGGCCTCCCGGGCCGTCTGGGGCGGTCTGGGCCCGAGAGGTCCGAGAGGCATCCAGAGACCTCTGGCGTTTGTGCTTGCCTCCTCCTCCTCCTCCTCCTCCTCCTCCTCCTCCTCCTGTTCCTCCTTCCTCTTCCTTCTCCTCCTCCTCCGCCTCCTCATCATCCTTTCATCATCCTTCTTCCCACTCCCTCCTCCATCCATCCATCCATCCATCTTAGTGTTCCACCTCCGCCTTCTTCCTCTCCTCCTACCTCCTCCTCCCCTTCCGCGTCGTTTCCTCCTCCCCCTCCTCCTGCCTCCATCCTCCCTCCCCCCTCTTCCCTCCTCCTCCTCCTCCTCCTCCTCCTCCTCCTCCTCCTCCTCCTCCTGCTCCTGCTCCTCCTCCTGATTCCTCCTGAATCATCCTCTCCTCCTCCTCCTCCTCCTCCTCCTCCTCCTCCTCCTCCTCCTCCTCCTCCTCCTCCTCTCAGCCTGCCTCAGCCTCAGCCTTAGCCTGATTCAGCCTCAGCCTCAGGTCTGCCTTCAGCCTCAGCCTCAGCCTCGGCCTGCCTCAGCCTCAGTCTGCATCTGCCTCAGCCTCAGCCTCAGCCTGCCTCAGCATCAGCCTGTCTCAGCCTCAGCCTCAGCCTGCCTCAGCCTCAGCCTCAGCCTTCTTCAGCCTCAGCGTGAGCCTCAGTCTGCCTTCAGCCTCGGCCTCAGCCTCAGCCTGCCTCAGCCTCAGCCTGCATGGGCCTCAGCCTCTGCCTCAGCCTGCGTCAGCATCAGCCTGCCTCAGCGTCAGCCTGCCTCAGCCGAACCGTGCAGAGGAACGATGGGGGGGGAGAGGGAGGAGGAGGGAGGCGGAGGGCCCGCCTGGGCCAGCTCGCGCAAGCCGATGGCGGCCTCGGGCGGCGGCGCCGCCTCGCGTCGGGGCGAGCGCCCCCCCTGCCCTCCTCCCCCCTTATCCCGCCCTCCTCCGCCTCGTTCCTCCTCCTCCTCCTCCTCCTCCTCCTCCACCTCCTCCTCCTCTTCCTTCTCCTCCTCATCCTCCTCCTCCCTCCTCCATCGTTCCTCCCACCCCGTGCCCCCCGACCCCCTCCCCTCCGCCCCCCCCCCCCTTCCCCCCCCCCTTGTATCTCGCAGCGAGAAGCGGAAGGGCGAGGGGGGGAAGGAATGGGGGGAGGAAGGGAAAGGAAAGCGGAAGGGAAAGGAAGGGAAGTGAAGGGAAGGGAAGGGAAGGAAGGGAAGGGAAGGGAAGGGAAGGGAAGGGAGGGGTGGGAAAAGGGAAAGGGAAGGGAAGGGCGCCTGCGGCCCGCCGCCTTGGCCTTTGGGGTGGCCTGCGGCGCCGCCGCCGCCTTGGGCGCGGGGGTCGCCTTCGGGTCGGTCTTGGGCGCCATGGCGCGGGCCGAACCTAAGGGGGGAAGGAAGAGGATGGCGGGGCTATGCACGGTTGGGGGATTGCAAGAGAGGGCTCCGGGGGGGCAGCGAAAAACAATTTGGGGACCCGACGGGCCCCCGACTCCAATTTGTAGTTTGTTACATTTTGAAGTTCGGGCCCCGGACGGGGCTGAGAAAAGTGAGCTGTCTGGCCCCGATGCATCATGCATCGGACTTAACTAACCCCCGCGCGCTTACTGCCCCGCCATTCTACCCGTCTGCAGCGCCTCGCGAGCCGGGGAGGAGGAGGAGGAGGAGGTTCTTCCCTTCCCCTTTCTCTCCCTCCCTCGTCAGTTCCTCTCCCTTCCTCTCGTCCCGGGTCTCCGCCTTTCCTCCCCCCTCCCTCCTCTGTGTCCTCCCTCCCTCCACCCTTTCCTGCTTCCTCTCTCCGCGCCCTCCTTTTTTCTGTTCTTGCTCATATCGTGAAATATGACTTTTGAGACGGCCCCGTTGCATGGTTTCAAAACATGTAAAATGAACCTCTTCGATGCGATACCGTTGCGTCTTGAATGGGCATTGTGATTCCTACTCGTTCTAAAAAACGATGATTTTGCTTAGCTATATTTAGTGTTTGGTTACGTTGGTTAGCAATTTGGTTACAACCTGGTTATATGTTGTCGCCGATAACCAACGTTAAGTTGCATATAGCCATGCTTCTGGCAAGCGCAAATCCTGCAGCCACCAAGCGGTGGAGCTCCCTATGGGGCCACGAAACGTGTAAGGGGTGTGCCGAAATGGGCGCGGTGCCGCCATGCGAACGCAGCCACTGGGGCCCTCGGTGGAGCTCCCTATGAAGCCACGAAACGTGTGAGGGGTGTGCCGAAATGTGCGCGGTGCCGCCATGCGAACGCAGCCACTGGGGCCCTCGGTGGAGCTCCCTATGGGGCAACGAAACGTGTGAAGGGTGTGCCGAAATGGGCGCCGTGCCGCCATGCGAACGCAGCCACTGGAGCCCTCGGTGGAGCTCCTTATGGGGCCACGAAACGTGTGAGGGGTGTGCCGAAATGGGCGCGGTGCCGCCATGCGAACGCAGCCACTGGGGCCCTCGGTGGAGCTCCCTATGGGGCCACGAAACGTGTGAATGGTGTGCCGAAATGGGTGCGGTGCCGCCATGCGAACGCAGCCATTGGGGCCTTCGGTGGAGCTCCCTATGGGGCCACGAAGCGTGTGAGGGGTGTGCCGAAAAGGGGTGCGGTGCGCCATGCGAACGCAGCCCTGGGGCCTTCGGTGGAGCTCCCTATGGGGCCACGAAGCGTGTGAGGGGTGTTCGAAAATGGGTGCGGTGCCGCCATGCGAACGCAGCCACTGGGGCCCTCGGTGGAGCTCCCTATGGGGCCACGAAACGTTTGAGGGGTGTGCCGAAATGGGCGCGGTACCGCCATACGAACGCGGCCACTGGAGCCCTCGGCGGAGCTCCCTATGGGGCCACGAAACGTGTGAGGGGTGTGCCGAAATGGGTGCGGTGCCGCCATACGACACAGCCACGGGGGCCTTCGGTGGAGCTCCCTGTGGGGCCACGAAACGTGTGAGGGGTGAACCGAAATGGGTGCGGTGCCGCCATGCGAACGCAGCCACTGGGGCCCTCGGTGGAGCTCCCTATGGGGCCACGAAGCGTGTGAGAGGTGTGCCGAATGGGTGCGGGTGCCGCCATGCGAACGCAGCCACTGGGGCCCTCGGTGGAGCTCCCTATGGGCCCAAAAGCGTGTGAAGGGTGTTACCGAAATGAGCGCGGTGGCGCATGCGCCAGCCACTGGAGCCTTCGGTGGAGCTCCCTATGGGGCCACGAAGCGTGTGAGGGGTGGCCGAAATGGGTGCGTGCCGCCATGCGAACGCAGCCACTGGGGCCTTCGGTGGAGCTCCCTATGGGGCCACGACGTGTGAGGGTGTGCCGAATATGTGGTGCCTGCGGTGCCATGCGAACGCAGCCACTGGGGCCTTCGGTGGAGCTCCCTATGGGGCCACGAAGCGTGTGAGGGGTGTGCCGACATGGGCGCGGTGCCGCCATGCGAACGCAGCCACTGGGGCCCTCGGTGGAGCTCCCTATGGGGCCACGAAACGTGTGAGGGGTGTGCCGTGATAGTGGGAGGAGGGAGGAGGGAGGGGGGAGGAAGGAAGGAAGGAAGGAAGGAAGGAAGGAGTGAACGCGGGGCGCTGTCTCTTCAAAACGAGGACCCAACACCACAGGACTGTTGGGAAAAATGATGATGGCAATCATAATACTCGTAATACCAATAATAATAACAATAAGAATGCTGATAATAATAATAATAACAATAATAATAATAATGGTGGTACTACTAATACTGATAATAATATTAATAATAATAAGTGTAAGAACAATCATAATACAACTAATAATGATCATATCATTAATACTACTACTCATACTACTACTACTACTACTAATAATAATAATAATGATAATAATATTACTAATACTGATAATAATAATAATAATAATACTCCTACTAATAATAATCATAATAATAATAATAGGGATGACCACAAGAAGTCAGGGTAGGAGGAGTGCGAGGCGGAGGAGAAGGAGGAGGTTGATGCTGTTGACAAGGAGGCGGAGGAGAAGAGGGAGGAGGAACGGTGTGATGACGATGACGAGGAGGAGGGCGAGGAAGGTCATGATCAGGAGAAGGAGGCCGAGGTGAAGGCGAAGCCCTCCCCTTGGATCCCTTTCCGGGGCAAGGGGGGTCCCGGGAGTGGGTCCCGGGGGGGGAGTCCCGCGGGGCGGTCCCCGGGGGTGGTCCCGGGGGGTGGTCCCGGGGGGAGTCCCAGGAGTAATGTGTTTGTTTCTTTACTAGGACCCCCACTCCAACAGCTCCCGCTCCTTCTCCTGATCTCCTCCCCCCTCCCCCGCCGGCGCTCGGCAAGGCGCGGCGACATGGGTCGTCGTCGTCGCCGCCGTCGTCGAGGAGGGGGAGGGAGAGGAGGAGGGAGAGGAGGAGGAGGAGGAGGAGGAGGAGGAAGAGGAAGAGAAGGAGGAGGAGGAGGAGGAGGAGGAGGAGTCAGGAGGAGGTGGGGGAGGAGGACGAGGAGGAGAAGAAGGAAGTGCAGGAGAGGGGGGAGGAGGGGGGATGGAGAAAGATGAGATAGGAGGAGGACAAGGAGGAGGACAAGGAGGAGGAGGAGGAGGAGGAGGAGCAGGAGGAAAAGCAGCAAAGGTTCCTCCTCCTCCTCCTTTTCCTCCACCCCTCCTCCCCCTCGTCTTCCTTACCTCCTCCTCCTCCTCCTCTTCCTCCTCCTCCTCCTCATCCTCCTCATCCTCCTCCTACTGGTCGTCGATTTGCTTCAGGGTCGGCGGCATCGGCCGTCAGGCCCTCTCAATAGGGATAACCACAAGAAGTCAGGATAGGAGCGCGAGGCGGAGGAGAAGGAGGAGGCTGATGCTGCTGACAAAAGGAGGCGGAGGAGAAGGAGGAGGAACGGTGTGAGGACGATGACGAGGAGGAGGGCGAGGAAGGTCATGATCAGGAGAAGGAGGCCGAGGATGGAAAGGGCCTGGGCGCGTTCTTCAGCTCCCCCACCAGCGGGCAGAGCGCCAAGGCGGTCCGCCCGTCGACCTCTACTTGGAGGCCCTGCTCCTGGACACGGGACGAGGTGAATCCTCATTCGTTCGGCCCTCCTCCCCCCCCCCACCTCTCGCCCCTCCTTGCCGCCTCTCCTTCTCCTCCTCCTCCCCCCCCACCTCTCGCCCCCTTGCGCCTCCTCCTCCTCCTCCTCCTCCTCCTCCTCCTCCCTCCTCCCTCCTTCCTCCTCCTCTCCTCCTCCCTCCTCCTCCTCCTCCTCCTCCTCCTCCTCCCCCTCCTCCTCCTCCTCCTCCTCCTCCTCCTCCTCCTCCTCCTCCTCCTCCTCCTCCTCCTCCTCCTCCTCCTCCTCCTCCTCCTTTCCTTTTCCTTATGAATAACTTCTCCCTGTCGCACCGGAGGCCATGTTTTCAGCATTTCCGCAACATTCATGACTCTGAAGCTTGAAAACTGGCACCAGTTTCACAGATGGAAGACGGGTGGTTTTCAAAATGTAGCTCTCGCCATAGCGCCGCGCACATTCATTTCAACAATTTGCAAGAGCTTCACGGATTGAGGGCTGGTCGTTTTCAAAATGTGGCTCTCGCCTCAGCGCCGCGCACATCCGATCTGACAATTGCAAGAGCTTCACGGCTTGAGGGCGGTTCCTTTTCAAATGTAGCTCTCGCCTTAGCGCCACGCACATTCTTTTTAACATCTTGGAAGAGTTTCACGGGTTCCGATGATCAACGTACCGAAAATTGCGTTTTGGAAGGATTCCGGATTATGCTGGTGCAGCGGTTATGTTAATTCGCGGTGCTGAAGTCCCAAAAGAAGCGTTTTGACACGATTCTGTGTCAAGACGCAGCAGTCAAGTTAATCCATGGCGTTGAAATCCCGAGAACAATGCTTTGGCATGCTCCAGGGTCTTCAAGCGGTTGTCTTCAACTGAGGACATTCAAGTGAACCTCTGTAGGGGTCTATGGAGAGGGCGCTTGGAGGAAGGAAAAATTCCAACATCGTTGATGACTTTTTGATTTGCAGTGGTCCTCCTCCTCCTCCTTCTCCTCCTCCTCCTCCTCCTCCCTCCCCCTTTCTTATATAAACCACCCCCTGCACTTCCTGACCACCACCACCACCACCACCACCACCACCACCACCGCCGCCACCACCACCACCACCACCACCACCACCACCACCACCACTACCCCTCCTAATCAGTACCCTGGTCCTCCTAATCCTAACTCTCCTCCTCCGCTCCATCTCCATCCTGCCTCGCCCTACCCCCTCCTAATCAGTATCCTGTTCCTCCTAGCCCTCATTTTCCTCCTCCGCTCCATCTTCATCCTGTCTCACCCTCCCCCCCATCCTCCCTCCTCCCCCTCCGCCTTGTCGTAGCGCCTCTCGCTCCGCTCCTTTGACAGGAACCCCGCCGCACCACCAGACGCGTCGGCAGCGCGGTCCCGCGGACGGCACACGGACCGCCCAGCGCGCCGAGGCCACCGCAACCCTGCAGGCCGTCCACCTCGCGGGCAGGCCCGCGGAGGTGAGAGATGTCGTGGCTGCGCTCGGCCACGGCGCGCCTCCGCTGAGGTTGGGCGCGCGCCGACCTTCGAGGGCAGCTCGCGCCCAACTGCCGCTCGGGTTTCGAGGTGGCCCCATGGGGCCAAGGCCCACCTCGACCAGGACACCGCCGGCGCGCGCGGGAGCTCGGGGAGACCGCCTCGGCAACGCCGCTGCAGACCAGCTCGCAGGGGCAGCCGAGGCGCCTGCCGCAGGCGGGCATCCCGCAGGGGCGCGCGCGCGGTCCTGCTGCCGCGCTGCTGGCCCTGCAGCGGATGCTCGCTGCCGCCAAGCTGGCGGCAAGGAAGGCGAACCACGACGGGGCGGGCCCGGACGGGCCCCGCGTGCGGCGCCGCTGGGCGGGGCCCTCCCAGGTGACGCGGTGCCCCTGGTGGCAGACGACACCGCGGCCGCGGCCGCAGCGGCGCCGGCTGGGCAGCGGGGCCTGGCCGACGCCGGGCAGCGGCTAATTTCGCGCGGCAGAGGCGGCGCGCGCGGCATTCGCCGGCCAGGCTCAGAGATCACGCGTGGCCGCCCGAGGGCCCAGCTGGTTCGCCTGCCTTCGGCATTGGAGTACCATGTGGGGCCTGCTCCAGAACAGGAACATGCCGCAGACGGGTCGGCCCTTCCTACGACCCTGCACCGCGCCAAGCGCAACGGCCACGTTGTCCAGGGACGCGTCCACCCCGAACGCGTCTGTGGACGTCACGGCACCCAATGTGTCCATAGACGCTTATGGCTAGGACGCGAGAGCGGTATTTGGCATCGGCCCCAGACGTTGGTCTTCTAGAAGCGGGTAGGCTCAACCCTCCAATTTCGGTGTGGCTGCTGGGCCCCTACAGCTAGGGGCTTGGACGGCCGGTCGTGGTGCAGCGTGTGGGCACCCGCGCCGCCGCCGAGAGCGGCCGGCCCAGCGGCGGGCGGGGGGCCACCGGGTGGCCAGCGGCATCGGGGGACCGCCGGGAGGCTCGCCCCAGCGGGACCGGCTGAGGCCAGCTTGTTCGCCGCGCGCCGGCCGTGCTACCTTCCTCCTCCTCCTCCTCCTCCTCCTCCTCCTCCTCCTCCTCCTCCTCCTCCTCCCTTCCTTTCTCGGCCACGGGCTCGATGGCGCGGTCCAGGCGTGCCCCTTGATGACTTCACTGTCGTGCTGGTCTGAATGGCCTTGGGTCTCCCAGCTGCTGCACGGAGGAAGGCTGGTCATGGTCAGGAGATGGGGCGCTTCTTCTACCTGGGTGTGGGCGCGACGCCGCTCCACGTCCACTGCCAGGACGGACGCCTCAGCAACTCCTCCTCCTCCTCCCCCCCCTCCTCCTCCTCCTCCTCCTCGTCCTCCCTTCCTTTCTCGGCCACGGGCTCGATGGCGCGGTCCAGGCGTGCCCCTTGATGACTTCACTGTCGTGCTGGTCTGAATGGCCTTGGGTTTCCCAGCTGCTGCACGGAGGAAGGCTGGTCATGGTCAGGAGATGGGGTGCTTCTTGTACCTGGGTGTGGGCGCGACGCCGCTCCACGTCCACTGCCAGGACGGACGCCTCAGCAACTCCTCCTCCTCCTCCTCCCTTCCTTTCTCGGCCACGGGCTCGATGGCGCGGTCCAGGCGTGCCCCTTGATGACTTCACTGTCTTGCTGGTCTGAATGGCCTTGGGTCTCCCAGCTGCTGCACGGAGGAAGGCTGGTCATGGTCAGGAGATGGGGCGCTTCTTCTACCTGGGTGTGGGCGCGACGCCGCTCCACGTCAACTGCCAGGACGGACGCCTCAGCAACTCCTCCTCCTCCTTCCCCTCCTCGTCCTCCTCCTCCTCCTCCTTCTCCTCCTCCTCCCTTCCTTTCTCGGCCACGGGCTCGATGCCGCGGTCCAGGCGTGCCCCGCCCCTTGATGACTTCACTGTCGTGCTGGTCTGAATGGTCTTAGGTCTCCCAGCTGCTGCACGGAGGAAGGCTGGTCATGGTCAGGAGATGGGGCGCTTCTTGTACCTGGGTGTGGGCGCGACGCCGCTCCACGTCCACTGCCAGGACGGACGCCTCAGCAACTCCTCCTCCTCCTCCTCCTCCTCCTCCTCCTCCTCCTCCTCCTCCCTTCCTTTCTCGGCCACGGGCTCGATGCCGCGGTCCAAGCGTGTCCCTTGATGACTTCACTGTCGTGCTGGTCTGAATGGCCTTGGGTCTCCCAGCTGCTGCACGGAGGAAGGCTGGTCATGGTCAGGAGATGGGGCGTTTCTTGTACCTGGGTGTGGGCGCGACGCCGCTCCACGTCCACTGCCAGGACGGACGCCTCAGCAACTCCTCCTCCTCCTCCTCCTCCCCTCATCTCCTCCTCCTCCTCGTCCTCCCTCCTCCTCCTCCTCCTCCTCCTCCTCCTCCTCCTCCTCCTCCTCCTCCTCCTCCTCCCTCCTCCTCCTCCTCCTCCTCCTCCTCCTCCTCCTCCCTCCCCCCTTTCGCCCTTGCTCCGCGAACGCCCTCTGTCCTGTCTCTCTCTCTCTCTCTCGCGCTCCCGGACAATTACCATGCCTCGCCCAAGCTGCTAGAATGCGCGAGCGGATCAGCTCTGGCGCGCCGCGACGAAAGAAGGCAGGAGACCATCAAAATAGTACGCGGGCAGCGGGCAACCAATTATGGAAAAATCTGGGTTTCGCCCGGAACCTCCCCGGCGCTCATGGGCACAAGGATGAACAGCTGCACGATTAGAGGGACGCTCAATTTTTGCCGATTCCAGACACCCTGAACCCAAACATGCTGTGATCTCTTGGGTGCGCATCTGCTGCGTCCGCTGGTTTCCGCCGAGCTTCCGCTGGTTTCCGCCGGCGGAAGAGATGGCAATTCCTTCTATCCTCGAAGGCAAGGCCCATTTTGGAACGCTCCATTCTGGCATCGAGCTACAGTTTAGAAGCGTATTACATGGTATTCCTCAAGCGCTGGACGTGTCCGACAAGTTCATGGGCGGAGGGCGGGTCGGGTTCAAGCTCGCCTGTCGCCTCGGCGCTGCGCGCTTTGCATCACTGGTTGTTGCTCTGGCTGCATTCACGGACGGCGATGGCATGTCAATCCCAGTGCGCGTCCCCACGCTACGCAGTCGCATATAAATATGGCCGGTGATGCCCGCTGCAAGAGCTCCATTGTGGTCACCGTCCAAGCCCTATCACTGCCCATGTGCTTCTGCTCATTCCGGCACTCCCAGGCCACAAGCATAAGCGGGGCCATGAGCACCACCATCCCGGCTCTCTAAACAGTCCTGAACCTACGGCAGACTCGCAGGACCTCAGCCCTCCAGCGGGCGCCTGCCGTAGTGAACACGAACACCTGCATCGACTGATGAAGAGGTGGTCTGGCGCGGAAAGCTGCGTCGCAGCATCAATAAGGTGTGCTGGATTGCTGTAGTCATCCGCACCCCCGTGACCTGCAACCCGCCACCGCTGCCTCGAACCCCCTCTCTGCTCTGCACCTTCCCCGTTTCGCCAATAATGACTGGAATTTGGGGGCGCAAGGATAGGCGAAGGGAGAGTGGCGATCCGAAAGGGGGGCGGAGGAGGGGAGGGCATGTGAGAGGGATGAGCGAGCAAGACAGCCAGTCAGCATATACCCCACCCCCTGTGGAATGGCGCCTGCACAGGGCACCTGGCCGCAGGAGACTCCGCGGAGACGCGTGCGCCTTGAGGGTCACGCGCAGAAAGGTGAGATCGGCTATACGCAAGAGTGACCCTGGGTAAGAGTGACCTTTGGTGCGCGGCTTTGGGGAGGCCGCGGGGAGGCCAAATCCAGGCGCGCTAGCCGCTGCTACTGCTTCGTTTTCAGCCATCTCAGGGCCCATCTGTGCCCGCACCAAAGGTCACTCTGGCGAAAGGTCACTCCTACGTCTAGTCGATGAGAGAATGGGGACAACTGCAGGTGTCCCCACCGGCCTGGCCTGAGACATCTTCCACAGGGCAGGGACGTGGGGTGGCAGTGGGGAGGCGGGCGGTATCGTCACGGCTTCCTCTTCCGACCTCCTCCTGCCCCATCGGTGCTCCTGCACCAGGGCCACGGCCCACCGCAGCTCCGCCGCCAGCGCCTCCTCGCGGGGGGGGGGGGGGCGGCGCCAGGTTCGGGTCTGCGCCGCTGGGGCTGGAGGCCCAGGTCGGATTGGGGGGGGAGGAGCGCGGGAGGAGGACGAGGACGGCGAGGAGCACGGGGAGGGTGCAGAGGGGAGAAGGGCGAGCTATAGGTGCGGGATCTGACATCCTGCCCATCCCATCCAGCCCCTCCCATTGCGCTGAGTTGGTCTACATCCGCCGACGGGCGTCACACTAGCGGACCTGGAACCCCCCCAAAGAACCAATCGTGTGTTGCGCAATCACAAAAAGGAAGCTGTGCACATTGGAGGAGGACGAGGATGAGGAGGACGAGGACGAGGAAGAGGAGGAGGAGGAGGAGGAGGAGGAGGAGGAGGAGGAGGAGGAGGAGCGGGAGAAGAGGGATCGTGACCGTGGAGGGGTACGAGAATGAGAGGAGGCGGGGAATGCGAGTGATAATCAATGGGGCACCGTGCCCCGCATGCCGACCCACCAAGGACTGCCAACCGAACCCGAGGAACGATTCCCACCAGTGAGGATAATCATTGTAAGTGCATAGTTCTGTCATTACCTGTCCAGTTTCGCTAGGTGTGGCTGTCATAGGCACTACCTGCCCGCTGCCGTTGGGTCACTCAAACAACTGACGACGCGCACATGCAAGACCAAGGGTTCAGAACGAACTACACGTCGTGCGAATGCCGATCGCGTGCTCAAGCGCCAGAACCTTTGCTGAAAAGCGGAGGGGAGATTGCAAGATATTGTTCATGGCCTCCTGCGTGGCCTTCGGGGCGCCATGGTGGCTGGGGAAGAGTCGCTTGCAGCTCCGCGCAAGCGCTTCTCTGCCACTGCGCGAGGGTTCGCTGAGCTCGTACAGGTGCCGAGCGCAAGCCGTGGCGATGTAACCGCAAAGAGGCAGACAACGAACTGAAAACCCTGGACACAGGCGAACGGTTTTCCATGCGTCGTCGTCGTCGTCGGGTTCCCTGTCCAGGGGCCGCCCCCCCCCGATCCCTGCTCCTGGCCCTGCCCCCCCCCCCCCCCCCCCCCCTCCGCGCCCTCCTCACCTCCCCTCCATCACTCACCCCCCGCCGCCCTCCGCCGACCTCGCACCCCAATGCCCAATCCAGCCCCCCTCCCCACTCCAGCTCCCCTCCTCCTCGCCTCCTCCTCCTCCTCTTCTTCCTCCTCCTCCTCATCCTCTTCCTTTTCCTCCTCCTCCTCCTCCTCCTCCTCGTCCTCCTCCTCCTCATCCCCCTCCCGCTCCCCCTCCTCCGCCTCATCATCGTAGCAAATTTGGCTCAAGCCATTTGGGCTCAAGGCTCAAACCATCCAGAATCCTCGAACCCAACCCATACTGCATAACTCCAGGACTCGCGAAACGCACCCCTCTCATCTCACCCCCCGAAGAATCGAAACCACAGCCCACGGACGGGGCGAGGACGGGGGAGCAGGGCGTCTCGACAACTTTTGGGCCCTTGGGAAGCGGGCGCGATCCTTTGCTCTCTCTGCGCGTTCCGAACTCCAAGGATCAATGGAGATCGTGTCGATGAGAGCCTGGCGAGCACGCCGTCGCAAAAACGGCGCGACAGCATCCCGCTCGTCGGTACGTGCGAGGCGAATCGCCGACCAAGGCACGGGTCCAGGCACACTATGTTACCGGCACAAGCATTGCGTGCAGCGTGAAACTGGGACTCGCTGGTGAGCAGCTTCTCTGGCTCCTCATCGGGGTGGCTGGGAATCCAGAAATGTCGGACGGATTGAAGCCCCGAAGACGGATGGCAGTCCGAATCTGAACCCAAGGAGAGGTCTAAGGAGGATGATGGAGATTGAAAAGGAGGAGGACCGAAGATGAGGGTGGATGGGGGCAGGGGCAGAGGGCGGATCAGAGGTGGAAGTAAGGGATGCGGAGAGTGAGGATGGTGACGGTAAGAGGGCGAGGGGGGGGGATGGACAGGAGGGAAGGGCTAGGAGGGGCATGGGGAGGGGGGGGGGGGGGGATGACGGCGGAGGGGAGGGGCAAGACGGGCAGGGTGCAGAGCATGGGAGACGATGCGAAAGAGGCGGAGCAGCAGCAGCAGCAGCAGCAGCAGCAGCAGGTGGGGAGGACGGGGGAGACATGTGGCAAGAGAGGGTGAAGGTGGAACGAGGAGGCGGCATAAGGAGGGCGAAGAGGATGAGGGAAGGGGCTGAAGGAGGGGGAGAGGGAGAGGGATGAGGAGGACATCTTTTTTTGGGACGTCTTTTGAGGTGGGGGGGGCGCCCGTGGCGCCCCCCCACCTGACCACGAGCGACGTCTGGCGCTCTCGCGGCGTCCGCTGGCGCAGCGCGGTCGTCGGCCCGCGCCACTTGCAGAGCGCCGGGGCCATCCCCAGGAGCGAGTGCCGCGGCGAGCCTCCCGCCCGCGGCCGGCGGCCGCCTGCGCCGCCGCGCGCGTGCTGGTGCTGCGGCCGCGCTGCATCTCAGCGCCTGCTCCGCCCAGCCGCTGCTGGGGGCGGCGCCGCCATCGTGCGCATCTCGCCGTAGCTGACCCTGCAGTCCCCGTCCGCGTCCAGCGCGATGACCATCGCCTCGGCAGTCGCGATGCCCAGGTGGCCGCTCGCGCTGAGCAGTTCGTCGGCGTCGATGTGTTCGTCTCTGTTCAGGTCCCATTCCCGAACAGCTCTCGCGCTGACAGCTGGGACAGCGCCCTGCCCCTGCCGCGCGAGTCCCCGTTGTCCAAGTCCGCCAGGAACGCTTGCAGCGCTCTGACTTCCAGAACGGCGTCAGCAGCGATAGCGCGGGTGGCCGCGGCGCCGTCGCGCAGGTAGACGTCTGGCGCCGGCCCCGCCGCACGGTCAGCCACTTGCCAACCTCGCTCGCCAGGGCGCGTGACAGCGGCGAGGCTGAAAGCGAGCAACAGCAAAGCCGCCACTGCTGCCCACGGCCCGCCGCTCCCAGCGTCGTGTTCGTGCTGCGCATTCTGCTTGGCGTAGGAGTGCTTCCGCTGGTTCGCGCGCGCCGCTTGGGGGTTGTTTGCGCGGCCCCCCACCGCGCCTGGACCGTCGGCAGGTCGTTGGTGCTCACCTCCGCCTCGTCGATGTGCTGGTGCCTGCCCTGGTCGCCCTTGCAGCTGTCCTCGCCGTCGGGCTCCGGTTCCTTCTCCTTCTCGGCGTTGTCGAGCTCAGGGGTTGTTTGTGCGCCCCCCCGCCGCGCCTGGACCTTCGGCAGGTCGTTGAGGCGGTCCTCCGCCTCGTTGTTGTGCTGGAGCCTGCCCTGGTCGCCCTTGCCGCTGTCGTCGTCGCAGGGCCCCTTCACCTTCTCCTTCGCGGTGCCGTCGTGCCCAGGAGTTGTTTGCGCGGCCCCCCACCGCGCCTTGACCATCGGCAAGTCGTCGGTGCTCGCCTCCGCCTCCTTGACGTGCTGGTGCCTGCCCTGGTCGCCCTTGCCGCTGTTCTCGTCGTAGGGCCCCTTAAGCTCCTCCGCGGCGTCGTCGTGCCTGGGGGTTGTTTGCGCGGCCCCCCACCGCGCCTGGACGGACCGTCGGTAGGCCGTCGGTGCTCTCCTCCGCCTCCTCGGCGCGCCGGTGCCTGCCCTGGTCGCCCTTGCCGCTGTCCTCGTTGTAGGGCTCCTGCACCATTCCCTCCGCGGCGCGGCCCCTAGGGGTTGTTTGTGCGGCCCCCCGCCGCGCCTTGACCTTCGGCAAGTCGTAGGTGCGCACCTTGGTCGCCCTTGCCGCTGTTCTCTGCGTAGAGCTCCTTCTCCTCCTCTTGCGCGGCGCCCTCGTCGTAGGGCCCCTTTCATCCTCCTGCCCGGCGTCCTCGGAGTCCGCGCGGCAGGAGGCGTAGTCCAGGGCGTCGTCCTGCTGCGCCCACGGCGCTCGGGCTCCGTCCAGCTCGGCCGCCTTGGCCCCAGCAGCGGGGCAGTCATCCCCCGCGGGGGCCCGCCCGTTCCGCGCCGCCGCCCGCAGCCGCCGCAGCCGCCGCAGCCGCCGCGGCACCAGCAGCAGGGCAGACATCCCCCTCAGGGGCCCGTTCCGCGCCGCCGCCCGCCGCCGCCGCGGGCGTCGCTGTTGGGCCTGTGGGTGGCTCCGCGACCAGGCCCAGCGCCGCCAGCAGCCCTGAGACCTGCTCGGCCTCCGCGCCCGCGTCGCTGGCCCAGCCCGGCGCCTGCTTGCCCTCCTGGTGGTGCCAGCCGCCTTGCAAGTCCTGGCTGCTCAGCGGCACGAGGACCTCCGCCTCGGCGCGCAGCCCTGCGAGCTCCGCAAGGCCGCCGAAGCTGGTGCCGTCGCGCTCCGCCTGCAGTTCCAGGAGCGTGCCCAGCAGCTGCCCCAGCTCGGGGATGAGCGAGGTGAGCCGGCGGCCGACGTCGCCGACCCCCTGCTGGGCCTGTGAGCCCGCAGCGAGCTTCTCCTTCAGCTGGTCCTTCTCGGCGGTGAGCTTCCCGATGGCACAGTCCGCCGCCTGGCGGGCACGTGCCCTGCGAAGCCGCCTCTCCGCCGCAGAAGTCCTGGGCGGGCGCCCGCCGCCTTCCGCGGGGGCGCTATCCCGCTCGTGCCTCGTGACCGTCGTCGTGCTGCGATAGCTTCAGCAGGCGCTCTGGGCCCCCCCTCGAGCCGCGGGGCGCGGCGGCGCAACGGACTTCCGCCTCGCCCCGCGCCGGCGCGTGCATCGCAGGCGGCCAGCGTTGAGGCGCCGGGCAGCCACAGCTCCGCGCCTCCGCAGCAGGCCAGCGCCCGCCGCCTCGGCACAGGGCCCACGGGCCGCCGCGGGCGCCTCGCCACGGGCTGCAAGGCTTGAGGAGAGGGGTGAGGAGGAGGAGGAGGAGGAGGAGGAGGAGGAGGAGGAGGAGGAGGAGGAGGAGGAGAGGGAGAGAGGAGCGCCACTCCCCATGGCGCGCCAGCCCCGTCAGGAGCAGAAGGGGAACAACGAGATGAAGCACAGATGAGGACGGCGGAGGGCGAGGGCGGAATACCTCGCCTTGGAGAAGGGGGGGACCTGGCTGCCCCAGCCACACTCGATAAACAACATGATCGACAGTCTTCCCCCGTCGGGGAGGGGAGGCATCAAAAGACATACCTTAGCCTGAGCGGAGAGATCGGCGAACCCAGAGGGAAGGGCGGGAAGGCAGGAGGCGACAGGGGCGAGGAGGGGGCACCGAAGCAAGTGCAACACTCCGTCACCCAGGGGGGCGCGGCACAGAGGGCACACATGGGCGGGGCCTCTGAAACGACGAGTCGTGCGCCAACGAATGCACAGGGCTTTAAGAAGAGAGGAAGAGACAGAGCAGGTGAAGGCGCGGGCGGCGGCGACGAAAGAGTGGACCACGAAGATGACGCGGCACTCCTGGGCGGAAGCAAACCACCATCGCAGCCGAGGGAGCAGGAGCTCACGGACATTGCCAGGAACCCTGAGCTGAGCCTCCACTTTCGCCTGGAGCCCGCTTCCCCCCAAAGCGGGGACCCGCGGGATGGCCACCACTAGGTCGCAGTTGGCCATCAGGGAACAGGATAGAGAGGAGAGCCAGAGTGGGTGGCCCTTCCAAGCAGGGCAGCATTCGTCATCATCTACAAAGCTCAGGAGCAGATCACGGGCCCTCGAGAACGCCGACGAATGAACAGCACATCGATATCGAGCGGCTCGACTGGCAACCTCAAGATCCCCACCTTCAACGGGGAAGTCGAGCCCACGCAAGTTCTGGAGGAGCCCGAACGGGATGGCGTTCCGAGGTCCTGCCGCGAGAGCCTGAAGTCCTTCGCGGAGGGTAGACAGAACTGTGGGCGAAGGGGCGTGGACTTGGCCAACGTACATCAGCCGCGGGAAGGCGCGGAGGTTGTGCTGAGCAATCGATTTCATGAGCCCGAGACCGAGAGACTTAATATCACGGACCGCACTACCATATCTCCCAATCGGGTGGGGCCAGCTCTCTGCCGAACTCTCGCGCCCAAGCATAAGCCCAAGATGCTTCCCCGCCCTCTGGGTGCTGAAGACACCCCATCCGAAGACCGCGATTATTAACCTCCCGCTCCAAATTCTCCGAGGATATGCCGAGCGGGAAGACGAGGGCGGTTTTCTTGGGGTTCAGGTGGAGCACGAAAGCAGGCCCAGCGATATTCATCACCTCAAGGACAATCACGAGGGCATCGAAGACGTTCGAACAGGCGAGCCCCAGGTCGTCAGCAAAAAAACCAGGGATCCCAAGATCGCGATGTACACGGGAGTCGAGATACCTAAAGATCGGGTCGTAGGCGAGTGCGAAAAGACTTCCGCTGAGGGGGGCGCCCCTGCTTGATCCCGCGCCGACTCCAGTATCCGCGCTCGCAGCATCAGCGAAAGCTGACAACAACCCAGCAGGAAGAATAGAGCGCCTGCACTGCACAGATGTACCATTCTGGAATGCCCATCGCTCTGAGCGTGAAGAAGATGGCCGAGTGGGGGAGGGAGGGGAACGCAGCGCGAATATCTAGAATAATAAATCCAGCCTGGGATTCAGCTCGTTGGGCGATCCAATGTATCAGCTTGGCCTCCAAATCTATGATACTGTCGGTTCCCAGGCGTCCAGGGGCGAAACCGCGCTGAACGCAAATGCAGTTTTCTTCGCAGACTAGGGATAGGGGGCGGTTGAGAGCACGGCTGATAATCTTGTTCGAGGTGTTGCTCAAGGTGATGGGGCGAGTGTCCTCGCGAGGCCTAACTACACGATGGGCATCTTCGGGGGCGTCACCTTTCGCCGGGTAAACTTGGTAGGCCCAATTGAACTCTGGATGGACCTCTCCTGTCGTCAGAATGCGCAAGTATGAAGCATACAACGCAGACAAAGCTCCATCGCCACCCCCATTCCCGAGAAAGTGCTTCTTGGGACTCTGCTGGTTCCAGGGTCCAGGAGATCGAGGGAAGGGGCGGGCGGGGTCGGGTGGGCGAATTCCCCGCGCAGGACCTCAGACCCCTCGCTCCACCCATGCACCTGGCCCCAGTGATCGGCAAGCTCTCGGGATGCGCTCAGACCCAGAGGTCCTTGGTCGCTGTTTTTTGGCGACATGCTTCATGTTGTCAAAATCGTGGCGTTATAACATTATGTTGTTATGTTGCCAGGATCCGTGGTTACAAAATGATGGTTGCCAGAAGCAACCAAAATGATCTTTGCGAAAAATGGCAGCGCACGTCGCGCTTCAAGCCGCGACGACTAGATTCGAGCCAAAATGGCAAAGGGGAGCGAGGAGGAGGAGGAACAGGAGAAGGAGGAGGAGGAGGAGGGGTGGAAGGGGTGCGAAGTGTTTCTGTCAAGAGTGGGCATCAAATTTCTCAATTGGTTTCGAAGCGTCTTCTCGGCCATTGGCTGTTCATGGCGCGGGGAGTTTTTTCGCACAAACGATAGCGACGAGTGCCTGTCTGACGCGCGGCTCCACTTTGCTCTCAATATCCGCAGCCATGTTTTTGCAATGGTAAGGACAGAAAACAAATGGGCGCACAGTGCACGGGGACCTTCTAAGGAAGGTTGCTCAAGTTCGACAAGACGAACGGTAGTAGCACATATGTGCAATATTCGCCAACGAATAATGAAACCCAATCGGCATTTCGATGGGGGCGCAAGGTAATTGCGAATTCCATAGGCGAGGTGAAACAGTACACCAGTGACAAATACTGAGCGACGTGGGCAGGAATACCTTGTTTTCCTCCTCGTCCTCCTCCTCCTCCTCTTGTTCATCCTTCGTTTCCTCCTCCTCCTTCTCCTCCCCCATCCCCCTCCTCCTCCCCCCCCTCCTCCTCCTCCTCCTCCTCTTTCTCCTCCTCCCCCCCCATCCTTCTCTCTCCTCCCGTGTCCACTCTTCCTTCTTTCACCCCTGTATCTCGATCGGGGTTCTTTGGGCTCGTGGTAGGGAAAGCGATGGCATGAGTGAGTTTATGGCGCTTCGGTCACCCGATCATGGCCAACAGGTCTTCACCCGTGGGTTCCGCGCTCCAATTCGCAGGGGGGTCTGGGATTTAAAAATCATACCCGCCCACGCCGTCAGTCCAAGAGGGGCCGGCAAGCCCGTGGGCGAGGCCAAAATCTTGGCCGAACTTGACACTAGTGCACTTCCAATAAAGCTCAAACAGCTCATGCTCTCGCAACCGAGGCAGGGGAAACATACTATACCCCAGCCAGTGCAACCAGCCAACCGTGAGCGTGCCTCTCCCAGCCACCGCGCTCAGTTCTAGTCGATGGTACCAGTTGCAGCCTTTCTTGTACCCCTGAAGAGATGCTAAACATTTGAGCCCATCGACGAGGACCTCAGCAGGAGGGATCAACAGGGTTCGGCGGGAAACGGGGGAGGATGAGGAGGAGGAGGAGGAAGAGGAAGAGGAAGGGGAGGAAGGGAAGGAGGAGGAGGAGGAGGAAGATGAGGAGGAGGCGGAGAGGGGGGAGGAGGGGGAGGAGGAGGAGGGAGGACGTCGGCCTGAATCTCCGCCGCACTTAGCGCCATCCCCCCTCGTCCTGCT